TCAGACCACGATTGGGTAAAATTTAGCAAGATTGAGAATCAACACACTGATTGGGAAAAGTGCTACAGCAGAAGTTCTGAGAACATGTCGATACATAGGTGATGGATTTTCCTCTTGGTCCAAATACTGCAGCCCCTGTTAACCGTGTGTTCTGTAAGAGCATGCTGGATATACAGTAACACATCCGCGGGTTTCCAATAACTGATCGATCTGAGAGAAGTCGCACTGAGCTCAAGACTGAGTAGAAGACAAAGAATGTCATGGCATCCACAGCGCATTCACGACTCAGCGTGTCACGTTAGGGGTGCACACATTTCGATACCAGCCGCATTACTATCACGATCCATATCACGATACCTTGCCTCCATGGCACCCTGCGCCACTGTAGTGATATGAATTCCATATATCGCAATATGACATACCCCAACAAACACCCTGTCCACATATCGCGACAGGAAGTCCATACGTTGCGATATGACACGCCCGACAAAATGCCCCGCCCCCATCCCGCGACATGAAGCCTGTATATTGCAATATGACATCCCCACCCCGGAAAAATCCCCTGCCCCCATGTCGGGACTTGACACCCCGTATGTCACGATGTGACATACCATGACAGGATACACCGCCCCCAAAGATACAAAGTCCGACAAGTCCTATCTGGGTATATCGTGATATGACACCTTGGTCACGACAGCGGCACCAGAGTGCCATAGAAGCAAGGTGCCAGTAGTGATAGTCACGTGGTCCTTATCATGACATGCTGTGGAGATATATTTAAGAAGGAGACAGCGAAAAACCGATCACTTTTTCAGATTTTGCTAGTGTTTAATACTACACCCGCAACTCTTCTGATTAGGGTATGGTATTCGTGACAAATGTAATTTTCCTGCTCACACAAACACACAGAAGATACTGTATTAAATGCAAAATCCACCGCCGCTCCCTCACGGGCAAACAGAAAAACAAAATTGTAGAATTGTTATCCTCGCACCCATAACTACAATGAAAAGTTTTAGGCTTTAAAAACGGAACCACTCTTACACCAATGAAAATAGAACGTAAAACCATAGTATGGCGGTGCTCTTCTTGGGGAGTTTTTGTGCAGAGGTGGGACTGCATGTTAAATTTGAAATACACAGCATCTTGATTATGGGTGCATTAAAGATCTTTAAATTGTGCATATAAACTTTATACACTATAACTATTTAAAAACTATTTACACTTTATAATTATGCATCAGTATCTCCCATATAGATTTGTGTTTAAACATAAAATATCATGGATGCACTACATTATTGCGGCATTTTTAATGAAAATATCAATGAAAAACCGGCATTACAAATTCACGAGTAATACTGTATACCCAACACCCAATAATTAAATATATTATACTACATTTTCTGATCGCTTAGTCATAAGATTTGGCTCAAACCTCTGGAGTGGGTAATTAACCAAGGGCTAGATGCAAATACCGAGATGGGGTGGTCGGGGAATGCAAAAGACTAATGAGAAGGGATCTTTTAATTGAGGAAATGGTGTCAGCCATGTGATTACAAATTATTCTAAATGAAGTGAGATGCTGCTGTCATAACTCCCGATTTTTCGTTGTGAACTCCATTTATGTAGACACAAATA